GATTTCTGTAGAGTAACCTTGAAAATAAGTTGGAGAAATATCTTCAACTCTGTTTTGTTCAACACTTTGTCAGTGATGTTGATAATGATCAAGAAGACCTTTACTAGATTTATAGCTGATACAACGTTGAAAGGGATCCCTAAATAATTTTGAGGCTGAATGCAAAATTTTAACAAAACACTAACAGTGTTTCTGAGCTGAAGAAGTTAAGGAAATAAGTATAACGTGCATGAAAAGAACCCAGAAATCCACCTTATTAAGAATATTAAGATTTGGAAAAATTAATGAACATCCCTCTCACATACAGTTCGTGGCAGAAGTAGAATGCATGCTTCGAGTCTATCTAAAATCAGAGTCTATGTTCTTTCTTATCCAGCACAGAACCAGTAAGTATAAAAGAATTAGGTATTTTTCTTAGAAGAACTTTAGCTTATATTTTGTAGTGAGTGAGAAATTGGTGTAAATGTCCTTTAAGGTCATAATTAATTATGAAATCTATGTGTTATTGTTTTCTGATAAAACATTAATGAAGTTTGCACCTAATATACTTAGTAGAGTGAATCCAGTTTTATATAAGCCAAGGTTTCTTTTTTTTTTTTTACAAATAGTTTATTGTCAAATTAGTTTCCACATAACACCCAGTGCTCATCCCCATGAGTGCCCTCCTCCATGCCCATCACCCCTCCCCTCCACATCCATCAGTTCTCAGTTTTTGTCAGCATTCAAGAGTCTCTCATGGTTTGCCTCTCTCCCTTTCCCCCACCATTTCCCCCTTTCTCCTCCCCCTTGTTCCTCAGTTAAGTTCCTCCTAATCCTCCTATACGTGCAAACATATGATATTTGTCCTTCTCTGCCTGACTTATTTCACTCAGCATAACACCCTCTAGGTCCATCCATGTTGCTACACATGGCCAGATTTCATTTTTTCTCGATGCCATGTAGTATTCCATGGTATAGATAAACCACATCTTCTTGATCCATTCATCTGTTGATGGACACTTAGGCTCTTTCCATGTTTTGGCTATTGTTGAGAGTGCTGCTATGAACATTGGGGTACATGTGCTCCTATGTCTCAGCATTTCTATATCCCTTGGGTAAAGTCCTAGCAGTGCTATTGCTGGGTCCTAGGGGAGTTCTATTGTTAATTTTTTGAGGAACCTCCATACTGTTTTCCAGAGGGGCTGTACTAGTTTACATTCCCACCAACAGTGTAAGAGGGTGCCCGCCAAGGTTTCTATGTCAAAGAATGAAAGGTTCTTATTTTTATTGTTCATTTCTTCCTTTCACAATAATAGCAGTATACCCTAGTTTTGCCAAGTAAAGATATTTCCATCTCAGTTATGTAACATTTTCTGAGCACCTATTAATTGCTAAGAATATTTGAAAGTATTGTAGATGCCACAAAATTTCCTCCCATGAAGCATTCAAGAAAAATTTATAAACAGTTTTTAAAGTTGTTGATTAGTTGCCTTTGAAATTTTTAGTGTCTGACATCCAACCTATAACCTTCTCTAAAAGACTTTAAGATTATGTATATGTGAGCATGAATGTGTCTATGTGTGTTTTACACCACACTCCTTAGAATGGAAATACTGAATATTGCCAACACATGCCTTTTGTTTCCTCTTCTTCCATTCCTCTCTTTCCTATCTGTACTCCTCACTCCCCCGTTTCCTCCGTCCATGAAATTCACATCTTTCAAAACTGTCAGGGTAACAGTTAAAAGCAAATAATTCTTATTTTTGTTATTTTGCTTCACTTTCGATTAAACAGCAATATCTTACCTGATTAACAAACCGAATACAATATATTGATCATTTCTAAAGACAGAAAATGCATCCTAAATTATGAGATGAATCCAATTAAAATTTCTAAAACTATTTTTATTTCCAAAAAGAAAATAAATATCCTGAAATAAAAGGAACAATGTCTGAACTACATATATATTTTGTCCTTTTTAATCTTTTTAAAGTTTGTTTATTTTGAGAGAGACAGAGCCAGCAGGGGAGAGGCTAAGAGAGAGAGGGAGGGAGAAAATCCCTATCAGGCTCCACAGCATCAGCATGGAGCCCAATGTGGGGCTCAGACCTGCAAACCATGAAATCATGACCTGAGCTGAAACCAAGAGTCAGGAGCTTCACTGGCTGAGTCACCCAGGCACCCCTGAACTCTATATTTTTCTCAAAACTATTATTATAAAAGGAAATCATTGTTTAGAAGTATCATTTCTGAGTTATTTCTACACACAACACATCAATCACCTGTGTTTGTTTTTTATTCTTTTAATTTTTTTTAATTTGGTTATAGTCAACATACAGTGTTACTTATTTTCAGGTGTCCAACATAGTGACTCAGCTCCTCCATACCTTATCGTACTGTGCTGTTTCAGTGTCATTGACTATATTACCTCTGCCTTTGATTCTTGTGTCTTATTCATTCTATAATGGGAAGCCTGTACTTCCCACTTCCCTTCACCCATTTTGTTCAACTACCCACCCCCTTTCCAACTGGTAACCCTCAATTTGTTCTCTGCATTTATAGACTTGATTCTGCGTTTTGTTTGTTTATTCGTTTGTTTTGTTTTCAGACTCCACAAAGGAGTGTTTAAACTGGGCGCATTCTGCATGTTCTTACGACACTTTAAATTGCTGTACTTTTCTTCAGGATATTTCAAGTAGCGGTTTGTGATTTGAGACAGACTTTCTCATTATCATTTTCCCATTGTTTATTGTTGTTATTATTCCCATAAAGAAAGCTATGGCATCCCACTCTGATCTGTCTTGCAATTAAATTGGCCATGATCGTTAATGGGATTCATCTATATATATGGACAATGTATTTTCAAGGAGTTAAAACAAAAAGCTTTAGTATAACTATTCTGTTTTTACTTCACAGACAAAAGGGAAATATTTAATATTCCTTATTTCAAATATTCCTGGTAACTTAAAAAAAAACATTTTGTTTTTTTATTTAAGTTCCAAGTAATTAGCATACAGTGTAATTATTAGTTTCAGGTGTACAGTATAGTGATTCATCACTTCCATACATCACCATTGGTTTATGAATGGATAAAAATAGTTTTGTCCAAATAAAAAACGTACATTGATTGACTCCCTTCTTCATTTGAGTTCAAAATTGAAACTCACTGGCATTTGACCACGGCAATTATTTTAAAGGTTAACAAGCTGATTCTTCCCCTCCAAAATGCTTTTTCAGATGTAGTCCTGGAGACAATGTAGAATACTTATTTCTCTGGGGTACACCTTGGATGATGTGGACTTTGAAAATTCAAGTTACACCCAAGATTCCATTCCCTGGTGGTTACTCATCTGGACCACAGACATGCAGGACATGTCTGAAAGAGACCTGGGCATCAAGCGGGCTCCACCAGTGAATCATCCCTTTAATACAGCAAACCTTAGAGGGAAGAGCAGGGAGGATATATTGGTTGTTAGGAAAACGTAGACTAGAGGTGGAAAATGACATCCTCAATTATTAATAAGATCTAAGGTGCGAGTCACATAATTGTTCTAATTTTTAAGAATGATGGAGAGCATTAAGCCTTTCTTTAAGTTGGTAAGAGGTCCCCGTAAATGCCTAAATTGTATAGATTTGCATATGGTTTTAGAATGTGATTTATAAAGAAGGTGGAGATCCCAACTCCCTTGATCATGTCTCTCTCTATATATATATGTCTCAGTGTGTGTTTTACTGCTCTGGGAAGTGCCTTGACACAGAGCCTGAACTAGACAAAGAGGCCTTGACCCGAGTGAGCTAACTGGCACCATGAAATTATTAAGTGTCTTTCTGCTCCTCTCTCTGGCTCTTTTCAGCATTTTCTCAGGTGAGTTTATTTTTCCTAAAAATTATAGTCCAGTATTTATACAGAACTGGAAATAAGTGTATTTCTCTACCACATTTCACAATTCTAACGATTTGGATATTCAGGCAATTCTCAGATCATCATAATAATGATAAGGATTGTGATCATGAAAATGGTGATAGTAATGATAAAAACAACTTTTTTGTTGAGCATATATTATATTCCATCCATCTACTAAGGGCTTTTATGCATTATTTCCAATATACATGGCAAGGTTTTTATGTCTATATTCTATAAAAAAAAAAAAAAAAAAAAAAAGAACATGGCACAAAGAACTTAGGAAATTTGACCAAAGGACTGGCAGCTAGTAAGTAGAATTTAGAATTTGAATCCAAGACTTCTAGACATTATAGTTGATATTTGTTCCGCAAAACTAGTCTGGAGGAAGAGTGATTGTTGTAACTTTTAGTTTGGCTTCAAAGACAAAAGAAAGGTTTCCTGTCCTCATTATTCTTATAACTGGGCTGCAAATAACTGAAATTGAAACAAGGAAGAAAAAGGCAACTAAGAGAATGCTTCAGAAAAGTGAATGAATCTTAAAATGCAGAAACATATATGCTGGTAGTGAATTAATCCTTTGGGCAGGGCACTATCTTTCATCACTTTAGTGAGCAATGGTCATATATTCTATCAGTTCAGATTGTTTAAAGGATGATTACAGTTTAGGATGACATTTTTCATCACAAAGAATCATGTGCACAAACAGGGCCACTGTACCTATTTATCTCCTTCTTTATTATTCTCCTCTTTGCTGCCGTTGTGGACAAAGCACAGGCTAGAGACTCAAGACCCAACACAGGCCCATATCTGCCACTAATGGCCTGTGTCACCTGGAGAAAAAGCACAACATTTCAAGATCTCCTCTCCTTTGTAAAATGCTAGAAATGAGTGCCTCCTGGGAACTTCCATGTCTGATACAACATTTTCTTGTGACAAAAGTGGTTGAATTTTGCTGCTATCAAAGATTTTAAATAGCTGAATGTGTAAAAACCAAGAATTTTTCATTGAATCTAAGCAGATGGAGAAGTCATTGTTTGCTGGGACCTGGTCATATTTATGTAAATAAATGCACTTAGAAATATTTTTTAAAAATTGGATACAAGATTACAGTGACACTATGGAGTGAGTTTGACTACTTAAGCCAAATAGCTGGAGTGAGTCGTTCAGGCAACTGCTGAAGCGACATAAAAAATAGATCTATAACTACATTAAAATTTACTTACAAAGATAGTTTCAAAAATTAACTGATATCCTGTTACTGCTTCTCTTTACAAAAGCTAATGGATAGTCTCATGGGATGTGGTTGATCAGTACCAATGACTAAATATTGTCACACTGTGTTTTCATAAAACTCATTTGAACTGGTAGTAAAAATATAAGCTTTGAGGCCCTATTTGATCTCCTACCACTAAATTTTCAAATGATTGTCCTTAGAATCTGTACTTTGTTGTGTTGTTGTTGAAATTGTGCTTTACTTATTTATTTTTTTTAGTAGAGAAATCCTCTTTTTTCATTGAACTATAGTTGGCACATAGTGTTACATTAGTTACAGGTGTAGAACATAGTGATTCAACAAGTTGCATGCATACATTATGCTCTGCTCACCGCAGTTGGAGCTGCCATCTAGAAACCCGCCACACTGTAAGATTGGTAATCACTACAGCAGATGTTCATTAACTTTTAAATTTAAAAGCCTTGTGCTGACCAGCGCTAGAGAAGGATCACACTTACTCATCCACTTTATGTCGTCTAAGTGGCCTTGGGCTTACATGTGAGAAGTGTTGTAGACATTGGAGTTCCACAGAAATGGCCAGAAATCAGCAGCAGCTTCTACCGGAATTGAACCTAAGACTTTTACATTTTAAACCACTGAGCGAATTAGTTACAACCTAAAATTCACACACATAATCCTAAAGGTAGAAGCAGAGTGAGAAGAAAGACTGTATTTGTGGACTTTTTTTCTCTTTCAGGTATTTAGAAAGATGTAGCAGGAGAATGAGTCACAGAAAAGAGAATGAATTTGTCCTTATGAGTCTCTATTTGGGCCAAGTCTTTGGAGCTGGTTGAGAATAAAGGGCAGAAGTGCAATGTGGGGCTCAAAGAATAAACAACAAATGTAGTGCCTTCCCCAACTGCCTGTAACAAAGGCTTTGGGGAGGGACGCCATGCACTGAACCCTCGGACGTCAAAGTTAGGGGAAATTTTCCAAGCCAGCTTCCAGCCAAGAGAAGTCAAAGATGACAAAGTCATTCCCAGAGTAAATGAGTGACTTGACCAGGACTGTCACATGAATCTCCAGACCCTTAAATTATTTCCTTTAACCTCACGCCAATCTCCAGGAAATATTATTCCTTCATAGTCCATGTGCTTATATCCCTTTCAAACTTTCTACTACTCCCTAAGAAATGAACATGTGTAAAAAATAAAACGACCACACCATGATTTGTTGAGATGACCAAGAACCAAGAACAAGAATCATGCCTGGCTTGAGGGTGTCCTAATTTTGCAAATCTCAGTTTTTTGCTCATTCAGAGACTACATTGTTTGGATTTTGTGCTTTTTTTTTCTTTCAGGTGTCTTCAGTCAAGGAGGACAGGTCAGTACATTTTTTTTTTTTTATATCTTTTATGCAGACCTGGGTGGTGTTTGTCTGGGATTCCCTGGCCAAAGAGAGGTTTGCCTGTGGGTAAAAGAGCAGAAACAATGAGCAAGCTGACCGAATGCAGAAATCAGAAGCAAATCCTTTTTTTAACTGTAACATCTCTACGAATATACTGTGTTCCATCTAAAAGAGCCTAAATGCCCATTCTGAGATTTTGTTAAAGTGAAATGAGCTTAAATAAAAACAGGATGAATCTGTAGTAGCACTGATGCTCTATCTCTGATTTCACTGTGTGATCTTAGGCAAGTTGCTCAGCTTCTCCGAGCTGTAATTTCCACAACTATAGAAAAAGGATCATATTATTCACCTCGTAGAAGTAGATTAAGTTAAATAAACTACTTGGGAGTATTTGGTAAAAGGATGTCTTAGCAATTAGTTGTTACCAGCTTATCAAGGGGTTATTAGGACAGAGGCTGTTACTTTCTGTTTAGAAGTAAAGCAGCCAAGAGAGCAAGCTTATTTAATGTTTTGAGCTGAGTATGCACAAACCGAGCCATTCACACTGAAATATTATTCGGGTTAAAAATAGGAAAAGGCATGAGTTATCTTCATGATTTGGCTGATTAATCCACCAACTTTTTTCTAGTTTCCTTGTTCTATCCAAAGACAACACAATCAAGCAGTATTTGCTCTGCCAGTCCTGTCCCTGTGTCTATACTGAATGTTTTTACTCGACTTTGGCCTTGGTTCTGATTATCCTTGTCATGCTCAAGAACTCTTGGCATCCAAAGTTTCCAGATACCACTGCCAAATGACTGGAGTTAGCAATGGAGCTGAAAAATATTTTCCAACCCTAGTATACCTGCCACTTGCATAATATTTTTTTACTTCAAATTTTAGCATCTCAGAAATTGATGCATGCCTTGCAATCGATGATGCCTGACAATTAACTGCCAGTGTGTGTGTGTCTTTGTGTGTGTGCAGGCACACACATGCACTTGTGTCCCAGTGCACCTGCACATGTGTGTTTGTATTGCTCTATGTAATCGTACATTCTAAAATTGATTTATTCTTATGTTTAAATATATACGGTAGCACAGTCTATGTGAAATATCAAAACAAACAGAGAAAGGACATCAGATCAAGACAAATATTTCGTATCCCATTAAGTGGTAATATATGATAAGGCTATTATACATAGATTTAAAATATATGGAATTAAACCCCAGTTTTCTCCTTAACACACAAGTTGCTTCTCTTCTTTCAGCATGGAATTCCAGATGGGATTTTTAGTGGGCTCATTTAAAGCCTGCAATTTACTGATTCTATTCCTTTAGATGGACCCGAGTCTTAGAGTCTGCTTGCCTGAGGGTCACGGGGGCTGCTTCCTCAATATGCAGATCCCCAGGCAACAGGCCAGACTCACTGGATAATAGTCTCACAGCTGGGGAGATCTGAATCCACATTCTAGGTAATTACCTGATGCTGGGAAGCACTGACTTTTGAGTACTCAGACACCGGAGACAATATAGACGAGTCCTTGCTCTAGTACTTACAGGCTGTGTCATCCGAGGGATGTCTCTCGCCTTCTTATTGCCTCTGTCTCCACATTCCTAGAATGAACATATGGATTCAATGATCTCTAAAGCCTGCTCTGGCCTTGGGTATCTGAATCCTCCAAAGGCCACTGTTTTCCTTTCACGTGCCTGGAAGGACCGGGACAGTCCCATCCACAAACAGAAGCTGAAAGTGACTTTAGGCGCATGCCTGCTCAGGTCTGATCCAGCCAGTAAAAAAGGGAGAAGGTGTCCTCTGACACCAAAGCCATTCTTCTGATGCCAAGAAATGTCTCCATGATGGAGCACCTGATGGGAAAATTAGAGTGAGCAGTTTAAATTACCGACTTGTAAAAGTTTCACATTCCTTCAAAGAGAGTGTTCAAACTAAACAAAAAGCGTGTTCCTGGACTTTTGGAATTCATAGTCTTGTAAAATTTTCCGTATAAATGTAAATGACTAATGGGCTGCCGGCTCTTTAATTTGCCAAGTAGGAACATTAAATAACATAAAAATATAATAATAATAATAATAATAATTAAAAATAAAACTACTATTTACCCTCACCAGCCTTCATTAAACAAATTATAGTGTCATACCAAAATGCTTGAAAGACATAATCTCAAAACGAGGATAGTTTTTTTTTTTTTTAATGGAATAGATTTTGCTTTTAGTACCACTCCCTACATTGTCTTTACTTTTCTTATTTCCCTACCAGGCTGTGCATTTAGGAACATAATCGTAAGGATCTGTTTAAATGAATATTCCGGACTGGAATTAACATAACAAACTGCTCAAAAGTAATAACAGTCAACCATTTTCTTTTTACAATAATTTTAAGGTATCTGTGTTTATTTCTGCTAGTATCTAAAAAAAATTTTTTAATGTTTATTTATTTTTGAGACCAAAAGAGAGAAAGACAGGGTACAAGCAGGAGAGGGACAGAGAGAAGAGACACAAAATCCGAAGCAGGCTCCAGCTGTCAGCACACAACCCAACATGGGGCTCGAGCTCACGAACCGTGAAATCATGACCTGAGCCTGTGCCAGACACTTAACTGAATGAGCCACTCAGATGCCCCTATTTCTGCTAGTATTTTAAGACAAAGCCATGGTAAATGTTAATATAGTTAGTTAAACAATACTCCATGGCTAAAATGTGTTTGGGACAGTTCATTTTTCCTAATTAGCTTGCACTAACTTATAGTTAAGATACTGACAGAATAACTAAATACAACGTGGCAGTGTTAACCAGCATCTATAACTACATATAGGAGAACTCAGTCTTTAGAAAGAAGATCTATCTCACTCAAGTTTACAAACAGCAGTAAAACTGTGCAGTCAGCATCACTGGACGCCAGACTCCACACTGAGCAAGCTTCTGTGGGTCCACACTACCTCTGATCAGCAATAGAAAGCCATTGTGCCGCATGTGTGAATGCAGAGTTTTCCTTTTTCTAAAAGTGTATTTATTTATTTATTTATTTTGAGAGAGTACCAGGTGGAAGAGGGCAGAGAGAGAGGGAGAGAGAGACAATCCCAAGCAGGCTCCACACTGTCAGCACAGAGCCTGACTCCGGGCTCGATTTCAAGAACCACAAGATCATGACCTGAGGTGAAATCAAGAGTTGGACCCTTAACTGACTGAGCCACCCAGGTTCCCCGAACAGGACAATTTCTAAACGAATCCATGTTAGTGTTACCTATCCTCGCTTCTTAAGTAAAAAAGTGCTTATAATGAAGAGTTGTTTAAAATAAGCAAACTTGTCTCCATGTGCGGCAAGGATTTGGGAACTGGGAGGAATTGGAAACAGAGAGCAGAATTCACTGCTTTGGCTCAGGAAAGAAATGTTGAGGGTGGTGACAGGTCATAAATTCGGAATTGGTGAAGAGGGACGTGGGGTAAAGAAATACATGAAAGGTGATACTTGCAAAAGGAAAGAAGTGGTAATGTTTTAACCTGAGGAAGGGTGGAGGAGAATCTGAAGAATGGTGCTGTGGTAAAAAGTTGGGTGGGTGGAGGGGCGAAATGTAAAACTAGTTTGAAAGGAGAGATAAAGCGTTATATTTTCACGTAAGTTAGTATTAAGTGTGAATCAAATCATAGACTAAAGTTGCCCTATATATTTCATCTATTCTCGCTGTTACTGAAAAATACTACCTATGCATATAAATCAGCTCCTTTCTTCATCATACCCCTCCCTGACTTGGCTTCTGCTTCCCCCGTCTTCACACCCCTTCCACGCTGCCAAATGTGCTCTTAATTTAAAAAAAAGGGTGGGGGGGCCCTGGGTGGCTTAGTCGGTTAAGGGTCCGACTTTCGCTTAGGTCATGATCTCGCGGTTCGTGGGTTGGAGCCCCGCGTCGGGCTCTGTGCTGACTGCCAGCTCAGAGCCTGGAGCCTGTTTCGGAGTCTGTGACTCCCTCTCTCTCTGACCCTCCCCTGCTCACGCTGTCTCTCTCTCTCTCCCCTAGGAATAAATAAAACATTAAAAAAATTTTTTAATTAAAATTAAAAAAAATTTTTTAATAAAAAAATTTAAAAAATATTTTTTAAATTTAAAAAAAGGCCCCTTTCAGGACGTAGCCATGATTCATGATTTCTTTATGATATGTGCTATACTTGATCACGCCCATCATTTTTGGACCTCTCTCCTGACTTCTACACTATGTCACTACCCTGGCTCTCTAACTATTTCTCTTCAATTCCCTTTATTGTCTTTTCTGTTTTCTTCCCGAGTATTCATTATGGGCATTTTCAAGAAAATTCTATGTACTCGATTTTCTCTCTAAGAACATGTATGTTCCCAGATGATACTGATGAGTTCCAGATGTTTTTTTCCCCTTGAGTCTTCATCAACATCTCAAACTCTAATTCCTGATTGTCAGAAATATACCATCCTCAGCATTTCTTTCCTGAGCCAATGCACAGAATCTGCTGTTTCTAATTCCTCCAAGTTTCAAAATCCCTGCTGGCATGTGCTGATTTTAAACAACTGTTTTCCTTGTAGTACTTTTTTGCTTAAGAAGTCCTACACTCTGGGGGGGGGTGTTCGCGCATGCGCGTATGTGTGTGTTTGCAAGTTTTCATCGGTTTTATTGTAGAACTAAAATGCTAGACTAAAATATCAATAATCCTGCCTCTTTAGTTGATTTAGTAACCACATGAGCTCATTTTCCAGACCAGTTAAAGGATTTGGTATTCACTGTTAGCAAAAAAATAGATTTGGGTACCAAAGGCGTCACTCTATTCCAGAACATTGTAGAAGGCACAGTTCTTTAAAGAACCACAAGGGGTCACCCAAACGCCTAGAAGCAGTCTCTGGAAGCTCAACTAAGGAAATAATTGGAGGTGCTTGTTAAATCCAACACCAATTTTAAAAACACCCCAAAATTCACTAAAATAGGATAAGATATAATGGGCTCCAAAAATTGTAGATTGTGCTACAATTTACATTGTTAGTGTTTGTAGTAGTAATCTTCCAAATACCTAGAGCTTTACAAAGTGTTTGCAAAGGACTCATCATCACAGTTAGGACAGTCCTGCAAGATAAGCTTATTTCCCACCCTCCTAGCCCAGGGCTGTTTCAACTATTCTACCCTGACTTTCTACAACTCTTACATGACCATCGTGGATTCTCTTAGCAACTCTAGCAGTAAAGCATGGAAACTGTTATTTGTTTTTCAAGTTTTTATTTATGAAAATTGTGGCATAGGTATGGAGTACTTTGTCCCAGATGGCACAACTAGTTAAGGGAGAGCGGCAGAACAAGTTCTATAACAGGATCCTTCGGCTCACTTCAGAGATCGTTGGAGGCCACTACAATCTGAAAGTGTTAAGTGTATCTAAATTCTGAGGAAGTGTGTTCATATACCATTTGATTGATTTGGTTTTAATTGTTGAAATCTTTCGTTCTTCCCAGTCAGTCCAGGGAGCAGTGGAAGGGGGAAAGTTGGCTTGGGGAAGGAGGTGGTGTCTAGACACGCTTACGGCGTCTTCCCAACTGCCTCTCTGTATCTGCCCCCCCCAATTGCCTCTTCCATATCTGCTTTCTAAAGGACAAAAGAGGCTGGACTGCAAGATCAGAGGGCCGGCTGCCAGGGAAAGGTGTCTTAAGAAGGCGTCTCTCTCGTGTAAGAGACTTTCTTTTTTCTTTATTACCTCACTGACCTGACAGACACACACTAACCTCTGACCGAGATGCCTTGTCCTCAGCTTCCATACGGCCTGTGCCAGGCCCACTGTGACATCTGTCACACAGTGTGCCATAATGATCTATGTCATCTCTGCTTCCCCAATGCAGATGAGATGGAGAGCTTACTGAGAGAGTGTCTGTCCCTGATTCCTCTTTGTATCACCAGCACCCAGCACTGTGTCTTCCAAATTACTAGTTGCCCGTTGGCTGTTTATGGAATAAATGAAAATATCAATGATGATTTAGGGTTTACAGTTCTTTCTTGACTCAAGCACACAGTTGCAAATGGGTACATCAACGACTTACATGTAAAATACAAAACAGCTTTTGAGAAGAAAGTGTCCTATGATTTACAATGCCCCAAAGATTTTCCAGCCTTTTTTTCCATCTGGACACCTACAGGAAAGATTACTCTCCTGGAGGTAGCAAGAAAGGATGGAGTTTTCTTTAAGAGTTGTGGGAGAAAGTGGGACTCGAGGTCGAACTATAAGAAGCCTATCTCCTATGCAGTCATGCCCTTAGATCTCTCATAAACACCATACAGCCCAACATCAACAGTACAAGTGCCTAATTTCAACAAAAATCTATATTTAATAGTCTCTGGTGCCTTAAACCTGACATATGTGATGATATTTTTAAAATCAGTTGTATGATTCTTTACTGAGTTTTTCTCCATGCAAACCTTCAGAGAGTTTTGTCAACATATAACGGTTTTTACATAATATCTTAAACAAATGATTCATTTTACTATCCCTATACATCCCCCTAATAAGGTACTTTATTTTCTTAATTTGTTTTTAATTTACTTCTGAGAGACAGAGAGAGAGAGAGCGTGAGCAGGGGAGGGTCAGAGAGAGAGGGAGACACAGAATCTGAAACAGGCTCCGGGCTCTGAGCTGCAGTCAGCACAGAGCCCGACGCAGGGTTCGAACCCACGAACCGTGAGATCATGACCTGAGCTGAAGTCGAACGCCTAACTGACTGTGCCACCCAGGTGCCCCGTAAGGTACTTTGATAAAGTCTACATGTCTTAACTGTAAGTGCTATCAGGGGTGCGTAGTGACAGTCGGCCTTGATTTCTCTCAATGAAGATATGTTGGAAATCAGCCTTCATAGATTGTTGGAAATTTGGATCAGCAATGAGAAATAATATGTCCAAGCCCTGATTTCAGTGCCCCCTGATTGTGTGGCATTGGTAAACCACGTAATTTTCCCGAGGATCACTATTCCTATCTATATACTGGTTAACATAACATTATTTAATGCATACCTCAGGGTTATTTTGACACTCAATTCAACTAATCCACATAAAGATAGTTTTTTTTTTCACATAAAGATAGTTTAAATCTTATGAATCCATTAATAAACATAAGATAGATGCAGTAAAGTATGGTCCCTGTGCTCCTGTTTAGATGTTACTTCATTCCAGGGGCACCTGGGTGGCTCAGTCAGGTAAGCATCAGACTCTTGATCTCAGCTCTGGTCTTGACCTTAGGGTCATGAGTCCAAGCCTGGTGTTCTCTGAGCTGGGTGCAAAACCTACTTAAAAATAAATAAATAAATAAATAAATAAATAAATAAATAAATAAATGTAACTTCATTCCACACAGCTGACATTTGGAGGAGCTCAGTTTACCTATTACATATTGCTTCTACCCTGTAATAAAATGAGCCAAATGTCATTTGCACACCAAATACTTCCTCAGTTGACACTGAATTGAAAAGAATCTTAAAACTCCAGGCTATTTCTGAGGGGCCACTGGAAGTAAGGAGATATATTAGTGGCATAGGTACTACCATTACTTCTATAGAACCCATGATGATAATTGCTAATTATTCATAGCTTGTGTTCTCATCAAGGCTGGATGCAACCTCAGAATCCTTCTAAACAGAGCAGTTTAGACAGCCATTACTGTGTTTTTATAGCAGGCACAAAAGTTCAGATTCTACAAATAGACTCAGAGATAGAGGAAGTTACTAATAAAAACATTAGAATGGTATTTTCAAGAGATGATAAATGGATGTAAGGATTGCAAGGAGTTACTTGCAATATCCTCCATATCTTTCTGGCAAAGCAGGAGTGTTCTTAGAGTTAAATTAATACAGTGAAAGAGAGGAAAGGAGGAAGGGATAAAGGAAGGGAAGAAGGAAGAAAAGAAAAAGCAAGCAGCACTTAAAGTCCAAAAACGACTGTCATTTGGAATAATTTAGTGTTGGAGCAAAAAGTCCTACCTATAGTATTTGGCTCACTCCTTATATGAAGAGAAAGCATCCATTGTACACCATTAACTTTCTCCTGAATACAATAATCTACAGAACTACAGAAACTGGGTTTCCTGTGTCTCAAAGGGAAAGCATCAGTTACATTTGATAAATTCTAGTTAAGCAGATAAGGAAACCTATTTTCTATTTCAAAAAGCTTTACATCGTGTGTGTGTGTGTGTGTTTAAGTTTACCCAAAGCTTCTGTTCTAAGGGACAGTCCCTTAGATAGAATGCACTAATGTCGATGTCACTGTGCTTACGTTGGTAGGTTGACTGCAGTGAGTTCCGGGATCCCAAGGTCTATTGCACGCGGGAGTCTAATCCCCATTGTGGTTCTGATGGCCAGACATACGGCAATCAATGTGCCTTCTGTAAGGCGGTGGTGTAAGTATCATACTTATCAAAATCAGAAACATGATAATGGAGAAAATTTATCATCAATAAAAATATTCTTTTATTCAAATTATTTTCAGACACTTTATTTTATACCAAATTATATGTTAGTAAGGTACCAATTTCCATGCATTCTTCTTTTTTATTTTAATGAAAAGAGCCTTTCAGCACCCTCCTACACTGTTGGTAGGAATGTAAACTGGTACAGCCCCTCTGGAAAACAGTGTGGAGGTTCCTCAGGAAACTAACAATAGAACTCCCTTATGACCCAGCAATAGCACTGCTAGGAATTTACCCAAGGGATACGCGAGTACTGATGCATGGGGGCACATGGACCCCAATGTTCATAGCAGCACTCTCCACAATAGCCAAAACATGGAAAGAGCCTAAGTGTCCATCAACGACGAATATATTAAGAAGATGTGTTTTATCTATACAAAGGAATACTACATGGCAGTGAGAAAGAATGAAATCTGGCCATGTGCAGCAACATGGATGGACCTTGAGGGTGTTATGCTGAGTGAAATAAGTCAGGCAGAGAAGGACAGATATCATATGTTTGCACGTATAGGTGGATCAGGAGGACCATGGGGGAGAAGAAGGGGGAAAATAGTTGGGGGAGGAGGAAGGCAAACCATGAGAGACTCTTGAATGCTGAGAACAAACTGAGGGCTGCTGGGGTGGGGGAGAGTGGAAGGGGGGTGATGGGCATGGAGGAGGGAACTTGTTGGGATGAGCACTGGGTGTTATATGGAAACCAACTTGACAATGAACTAAAAAAGAGAGAGAGAGAGAGACAAGAGCCTTTCAGGAAAGAATAGAGGAAAAGATTATCCTTTATTATTCAGACTATTCAAACTTTACAGTTAGTATACTAGGAAGATTCTATCAAGGGCCAGTATTTATTAAAAAAAATTTTTTTTAATCTTTGTTTATTTTTGAGAAAGAGAAAGACAGAATGCAAACAGGGAAGTGGCATAGAGAGAGGGAGACAGAATCGAAAGCAAGTTCCAGGCTCTGGGCTGTTAGCACAGAGCCTGACATGGGGCTCGAATTCACAGAACTAGAGTTCATGACCTGAGCCGAAGTCGGATGCTCAACCGGCTGAGCCACCCAGGTGCCCCAAGGACCAATATTTATTGAATTTACACATTCATAAGGAATAGGACAAATGCTGTAGATTGTAGCTAATAAACTGTGATCTTTCCAGTAGATCAGTTTATAATTAATAATAATTTATTCAATCAATCAGTCTTATAGTCTGGTTGATTACTCTACAACCAAGGGAATTATAACCCTTGTCTAGGCCAGTTAAAAGTTGTCTCACTTTTCCACTACTGTCTTCACTTCTTTGTATTAGAGTTTCTTCTGTGAATGTCTTAATTACCTTCAACTTTACTGTAAAATTTCTAAGCACAAGTATACAGAAAATTAATAAATACTGAATCAGCACGTAACAAGTATGTGCCTACTTGCTTCTGTAACATATCTGACTAACACCAAACTTTTCCCAGAAGAAAGGCAATAGGGTAAGATGAAATTTGATTTAATGGACATCTACTACTGAGAAGGACTGAACATATGATCTGCTATAAAATGCCAAATGCCTGAACACTTGGTTCCACCTCTTACATCTGTCAGGACTATGACACCAGAGTCCCCTCGCCATTATCTCTCCTGTCACTTTTACCTTTTCCGGTTGGATACGTACTTACTCTCAGACAATGAACAATTGAAGCCAAAAGGTCTAAGCCTGGATAAAACTCTGAAATTTGTTTACATTTCATGCTTTCTGCAGTTCGTCCAGATGCCGTCTCTGGGTACATTTAATTAACCTCTGGCATGTCGTCAATGTGGAGAAATGTAGAATCACCTGACTGCACGGACTTTGCAGTAATCACACCTTTTTCCAGGCTTTGTGATGAATACTGATGATACTGCACTGAGCATGCATTTGTCTTTCTCTTTTGTAGGAAAAGTGGTGGGAAGATCAACCTAAAGCACCAAGGAAAATGCTGAAGTTTTGTGCAGGGTTTGTGCTGACTTCCAGCTGCTGCTCTTCTCACTTCTGTTTTTCTCTAAAGGATCCTTGAAATTCATAAAGACATGCCTTCTACACCGCCTACTCTAGTTCAATGTATACCTATTTCCCTGGATTTGCTTGCCAATAAAGTACATTCTGTGGAGGCATTGCTTGTGTTTTTCCTTTGAAATCAAGAAGACATACAGTTAAAATAGACTAATTGACCTGGCATAAATGTGTATAAAAAGACCTGTTTTTTGGGATCTAAATCAACCAAGCAGCCACTGTGGGATCTTGGGAAAAATCTCTTCCCCTCTCTTATTCTTACAGTTGCCGTGTGGATGGTGAAGGATTTTTTTTAACAGTGTGTGTTTTTTTTAACAGGTTTGTTGTTTTTTTTTTTTTAGTGTAGATGATCTTTATTGGCAGGTGTTAAGAGTGCAAAATGGTGACAAATCCAGAGGGATGGGAAAGGAGGTGGAGCATGGTTCCCTTTCCTCCAAGTGGGGACACTGTAACCAGGCCAGTGGGGTAAGAGCACTTGACTGTGGCCACTTTGGGTCCAGCACCCTTCGAAGAACAAGCTCCCAGGCAGGAGGGATCCTCACAGCACACAGGCAGGTAAAACACCCCAGAAGAGGCCTGGGCTACATCCCACCCCTGGGCAGCCTGGCTCCTGCCCACCGCACACCATAATGTGTGATACTACATTATGCTTATAGTTATTGTACAATATCTATTATTTAAGCTGTAGATAATATAATATCATTTCTTTCTAATTTCAGGAAAAGTATTTTATATAAAACTAAAATGCTCAGCCTCTCTCAACCACAGCTTTCTCAACTTTATGAAATGGTGGATTTATGCAGATAGATGTTAACCTTTGTATATACAATTGAATATGATCTAATCAAACTGGGGAATGTATCTAATATTTAGATAAAGAGCCAGGGACTGGATTAAGTAGTGCTAGGGAAAATATATACCTTCTACTCTTTGAAGTGTGGGCTTTGTGCTCTTCCATGCTTACAGACTATTCCTTTTGCTGAAACTATAATTATAATATATAATGAAGGTAAAGCAATTATAAGAGGGTGGACCATTGAGTCACATGGACCAGAATGTGAGTCAAGACTCTCAGATAAGCTCCTTGTTTTTGAACAAGTCATTTGACTTCTTTGATTTATAATGTACTCATCTTAAAATGGGGACACTAGCATCTACGTCCTAAATGTATCATGAAGATTAAGAAAATGAAGCAAAGAAGCCATTAAACGATCTCTGATGTGTAACAAGAGCTCAAAAATCAGTAGATTTTGCTATTATGTCCTGTCTTCAATTTCAGCATTATACTCTCTTCACTGCCCAGGATATTTTTGTTCTTTTTCTCAGTATTTACACAGCTTTTTTTCCTTAATGTCTATGTTCTGTTCCTTTAACATTTTTGAAAATTCTCATCACGTGAGGTTTTTTTCTCTGTCCTCTTTTTATCTACTAAGTTCCTTGCTCACTGGGGAAATTAAGTTCTTTTTTTCTCTTTAGTTCCTGCTGCCTGAAGTAGCATATTATTTCTAACAGAGACACAGAGGCACCATGTGTAGTTTGGAAACTGAGTCACTGCATCTTTGAACATATGCCTCTCATTGTGGTCCACTCCTCTCTCCCTCTTGGAGCAGTGTCCTCCCCCCGGGCCAGGTTCCTGTCAGCTGTCCACACAAAATGTGTGTTTCCACCTCGCTATTCTGTCTGGCCTGGAATGCCTCTTGGACCACCTTGTGCCACTCAAACACATCTTTTACTTACATCTTAGGACTACCATTTATTTGAAGTTTTATTTCAGGTGCTGTAACTGAGTAAATAATTAATTTGCTATCTCTTGTATAGTTCTGAACTATTCTTTGGGGATGGAAGGGAAACAAAGAAGAAACAAAAACCACAGAAGGCCAGAAAACTTGTATTTCTTAGAAAGAAGAAGCAAGTCACTTATAAAATAATCAATGGTCAAAATACCGGAGTTTGGGTTCAGAGATATATACCCTTTTCAAACTGAGGTTTGACAGTGAATCCACACTTAAGATTTATCCATTTCATAGTTTGCAAAGCTTACATCAAAAGAAAAGAATGTAAACATGTAGTGTAGGTTTTTTTTTTTTTTTTACAACTCATGTAGTCTTAACTGTGATATACATAGTGAAGTTGTTAAGAGGGAAGGTACCGATGCCTGCAATTCACTTTGAATTGGGTCCAAGATGGATTAATGGACAGATACCCAACAAAACCAGCAAAGGAATATAGTAATGGTACAATCCAGCTGGTGGGTTTTAAGGGGTTCACTAAAAACTTATTTTAATATTGCCGTATGTTTAAAATTGTTCGTGAAAAGCATTTTTGAATACTTTTTAAAAATACACAGGTTATAACAGATGCAGATACTCATAATTCTGTTTACGTTGCGCATCACTGTGATAGCCAGGACAGAGCATACAGTTGCAGGTAAGGTTTGAACTCTTCAAAGCTTAAAAAAAATAATTTAGTTGATCTGAAAGCTCACATCTATCATTATACCTTCAAATGACCATGGGAACCTGGTCAAAACTGGATCATACCAATAACCACTAGCTATCCTCAGGCATTCTTCTTTCCATACCAGATGTTGCCAAGTTACGTCTTTCTCATTTAGTTGCCTCTTACTGTATTTTCTTTGAAGCTAAATTCATTGCAGAAACAATGTGGTATGTCAATGATTAGACTCAAGTGAGGGCGCCTTGTCTGTAGGCTGTCTGTGCCTATGAAAGTGTTCTTGAAGTAGTTTATATAAACATGCACCATACACACACACACACTCTAAAATCAAAGGGGAAAAAAGGCCAAGGAAAATAGTAACTAAGATAAAAGACTGAAATAATTCACCACTAACAAATCAGGTAAACCAATCTATTACTGATTACTCATGTTCCCAGTGGTAAGGACCCAAACACTATCACATTTAAATTTAGCAATTGTTGTGAAGATGCAGCCCCATTTTATGGAAGAGGAGGCTGAGATAGAGAGATATAAATGATTTGTCTATGATCTCATACCAGGGAGTTTCAGAGTCTTGAGATGGTCATGTCAATTACAAATTCCTAAACTACCTTTCATACAAGCCTAGTAATTTAAGTGACTTGGATTTAAGTGTTGAATTGGAGGGATTAGCCCTAAATATTTGGAGACATAGAATTAGAAGTATTCAGGGAACCTGGGTGGCTCAGTCAGGTGAGCATCTGACTCTTGATTTCAGTTCAGGTCATGATCCCAGGGTTGTAATATTAAGCTCCACATGGGGCTGAGCATGGAGCCTGCTTCAGATTCTCTCTCCCTCTGCCCCTCCTCTACTCACACTCTCACTCTCACACTCTCTCTCTTTCTCTAAAATTAAAAAAAAAAAAGAATTAATAAATAAATTTAGCAAAAGCTTAAAAGAATATGTACATAGGGTGACAGTATCTACCATAACTCCCAATGTGCGGACAGTGATGTCCATTTTGGGATGGGGCTACAGTCATAGCCTAACAAGGCCTAGTTCAAAGAGGTTTCTAACTCTGAACTGGCATTTTGTGAAATGCTCTTGTTCTTTCTTCAACTTTCTTCTTTTCTTCCCCAGATTTGGTGTCTGTGACTTTGCAGAATTTTGGTGCATTTCAGTTCTGTAGTTTGACCGCAGGGAAAATAAACAGACCTTATTTCTCCTCCTTTCAGGTGAAAAGATGTAGGCCTAACCTAATAAGAGAAGGGTATCCTTGCCTGGCCCCATTTAGCTTACTAGTTACTCTTTAGATGTGATAAGACATATACACTGAAAGAATACACATCATAAAGCACAATTCCATAAGTTTTGGTATATTGTGTCTCCATTTTAATTTGTCTCAAGTGTTTTGTTGTTGTTTTTATTAATTTCCCTATTGATTTCTCCTTTGATCCATCGTGGGGGGTTTTGTGGAAATGTGTTGTATAATTTCCACATATTTATGGGTTTTCCAGTTTTCCTTCTATTATTGATTTCCAGTTCCATAGCTTTGTAATCAGAAAAGATATTTATATGACTTCAATTTTCTTAAGATTTTTAAGACTTGTTTTGAAGCCTAACAAATGACCTATCCTAGAGAACGTTCTGTATGTGCTTGAGAAGAATGTGTGCTTTTGGATGCACTGTTCTGTTTCACTTCACCCACCTTGTCTAAAATGTAGTTCAAATTCAATATTTCCTTATTAATGTTATGTCCAGATGGTTTATCCACTGTTGAAGTGGGATATTGAAGTTCCTTATTATTATTACACTGTTGTCTATTCCTCCTCACTTTCTGTAAATACTTGCTTTTCATATTTAGATGCTCCAATACCAGGTGCATGTATATTCACAATTGTTATATCCTCTTGATGAATTGATCTTTTTTTCATTATATAATGACCTTTTTTGTCTTTGTTAAAGTTTTGATGAAAGAAATTGAAGAAGACACGAATAAATGGAAAGATATCTTGTATTCATAGACTAGTAGAATTAACATTGTTAAAATATGCATACTACCTAAACTATTCTACAGATTCAATGCAATTTCTATCAAAATTCCAATGATATTCTTCACAGAAATAGAAAAAACTAATCCTAAAACTCATATGGAACCACAAAAGGCCCTGAATAGCTAAAGCAGTCTTGAGAAAGAAGAGCAAAGCTGGAGGCATCACACTGATCTCATGTCATATTATAAAGCTACAGTAATCATAACAGAATGATACTGGCTTAAAAATGGACACATGAGCCAATGGAGCAGAATAGAGAACCAGGTATAAATTCATACATATATGGTCAAGTAATCTTTAACAAAGGTGCAAGAATACAAAGTAGGAAAGGTAATCTTTTCAGTAAATAGCAGTGGGAAAATTGGATATCCACATGCAAAAGAATGAAACTGGACCTTTATCTAACACCATTTCCAAAAAGTGACTTGAAATGGATCAA